ACTAACAGCGGAGCGAGTAGCCCAAGTGTTTTAAACTCTTGAAAGGAATACAACTATTCCTTTCACACCTAGGAGGAGCTCCGGAACAGCTCCGGGGCTTCACGCCCCTATTATTTTCGAAAAGTGTTTGTTGCAAGTGGTTGCACCACGCATCTGTTCCCTGCAAATCGGGGGCGACTGAACACCGGAGCGAGTAGCTCGAGTGTTCCAAACTCTTGAAATGAATACAACTATTTTAACAGGACCGCATCCACCGTGCGTTCGGTATTTTGATCTCGAGCTTGAATTTACCGTTCGTTTATTTAAATAGTGTACTCGGGGCAGGCTCATTAGCGTTTATTAAAATTTCAGGCACTCTGATCAGCGTTCAACTGCTCTGTTCGGACTGTTCGCTCGCTGAGCCGCTTTCCAGTATGCACATTGGCGCGCTCTGGCGCGCTCTAGAGCACCTCGGGGGCGCCACGCACTAGATTTCTACCGTTCCAGTATCATGGCGTGAGACGCCTGTCTTAGGGCGGGTATTATAAAACTACTTTGAAAGTTAACTTAAAGTTAACTTCTGGAATTACATGTAATTCAAAAAGTTAACTTCAAGTTAACTGTCAAAGCAGTTTTATAAGGTTTGTTCCAACCTGCGATAATATTACTGTAATATTATCGTCCGTAACCGCGCTAATGCGACTGCGCAATCAAAAACAGTAAAATTATCCTAAATAATTTAAAAACTTGTTGGAACGTTTTTTGAACTAGTAGTACTCACAACTCACAAAATAATTCATCTCCTGGACTAATTCTACCACATTCATTTCAATGCATTTAATTTATAGTTTGTTGAATATTCGACACTAAAAATCATATAATTGTACAAGAGCTAATATGATGCTGTCCCAGTTACTTTTGGTGACGATGGTACTTAAGTTATAAATTTCATTGCTATTTTATGGTAATCCATTATGAGGTACAGAACTTTGATATTAATTCACTATTTAAGGAATGAATTGAACATGCAAAGAAGGCATATCAGAGCAGATCAATTGAAACTTCTGATGAGGTTTTATTATCAAATATACTAGACGGAACACATGGCCAAACCAAGGAAGGTTTTAGAACGATAACCACAAGCAAACCTTTTGTACTAGACTTCCAAAAGTTCCAAAAGAATCGGCGCAGTTTATAATTACAAGAAGCCCCATTTATTTTAATATTCCTCAAAGACCAAGAATTTCATTCATTTTAGTTGAACTGAAGGTCTAAATTCTAAAAGTTTATTCTGAATTCTTTGTTTGACTTTTATTAGGGTGTTTTAGCGTTAATCACATTTTTTTAAGGTGTTTACTCACCCCTTAAAAATAAAATCACAAGACCGTAAACACCCTGTATACCATTTTAAAAATACCGTATTGTTAGCGGTACCGTATTAGCGTAGCGTCTGAGGCACGAGAACTTTCTATTAGGGATTTACATTATACGATAATTCGTCGCGTATGCGCAAATATATATTTTTTTTCAATGAGCCGCTTCAATCGCGGCGATGCGGAACTGGCGCGCAGTCTCGCGGACTCCGCTCATGTACTGGATTCGGATTGCCTGTAAGAGCCGCTTTCGAGTCCAGTGACGAATTTTAAGGTGCTCCGGAACCCGTAGCTTCACACTCTGGTGCTCCAAACAACTGTTGTTTCACTGGAACGCATCCTACTTTAGTGTCGTGATTTGATGCACCCATAAAATTAGCCGCTCTCCAGCTGACCATTTTGAGCACGCAATCGAGCTTTTGCGCGCGCAAATGCTTCAAGCGCGTGTTCGTGTTCCAGCCGTACTCCGCTTCGAGAGTTGCTAACTTTTGCTTTTCAAACACAGAACACTGGGCAGAGGAAAAACGAACAGTTCAGTAGCGCGAAATTCGAACGCACTGGACCGCCTATAAAAAGCCCGGGGCGCTCTAGAGCAGCTCAGGAGCAGGGACCTAGACCGAAATGAAATATCGGTTCCGTTCCGATTCCGGTCAACAGCGTCATGACAAATATCGGTTCCGTAACGGTTCCGGTTCTAGAGAAATCTGTCGATTCGGATTCGGCTCGGAACAATAATTTCGGTTTTAACGGTTCATACCGGTATAGTTTCTCACAAATTCTATAGGTTCGTTCCAACCCAGCCAAAAACCGTACAATGTACGGTCACGGTCATGCGCCATAGGTTAAACGCGTTCCAACCGAGAGATGATCGTTTACCGTACAGTTTCGTTGGCGTTCCAACCAAACCTGGGATCGTTCGAGAACTGGTTTTAGCACCGTCATTTCGATCCCGAGTGGAAAGCAAGAACCGCGTGGACTGATTCATGACTGACATGCGTAATTCAATTTTTGTCACCTGTTTTTGTTGTTCATGTTGTTAAACAACCAATTTCCAATCTAACTTATAAAACTGTAGCATTTTTATTTTTTCAAGTGAAAAAAAGTACAAAATTTATTATCAGCTATTTGCGAATCCTTGATGTTATCAGCTTGCAAGGATTCAGTTTTAGATTCTTGATAATGAATCAGCGTTGGTGTTCGATTTTCCTTTTTTATATATTATTTTGTAATCCTAATCCTATATTCTTCTATTTTAATTTGCAAACAAACAAATTTAGGGTTAAAGTTATTTGAACTGTCGTCATTACGAAAACGATCATGAAACCGTTCCAACTACCCGTTGTTTCTGTACCAAGATAAAACCGTGCAAGGTCAACGCATGCGCCTGCAATCGATCCTAACAGTTCCGAAACCGTTTCATGACGATACGAAAACGGGGGGTTGGAACGAACCTTATATCTAACAGAAAAATGTATGTTCCTGTAATTGGTGGTTTATTTTTTTATTGAATTTCTCTGCCTGTCTGCATCAACATCAATAATAATAAATATTATAAATAATAATAAAATTATTTTCGATCAGTTAAATAATAAAAATCTCAATCCCTCCACCAGGCCAAAGTACCAGTGATGGCGTACACAGCGTGTTGTTTATGTTGCCTTGACGTAGGGTGCATGGCCTATCCTCGTGAGGCCTGTGTGTAACAAATCCCCCCCGTCTCCCCCGCCCCAACAGTACTAGAAAATGGTATGTCCAATGAACTATAGCTAAAAACTGGAATGCGCACACATTGCCATATCTGCCAAAAAAATGTAGCCATGAAAGACAGATGCCACAAAGGGGAATGTTGTTTTTTTCTGTTGCTCGCTGTCATATGACGTTTTCGAAAGTTTTGTCATATTTCCCTTCACAGGTTTCATCAATTGGAATACGTGTTGGAAGCAATTTTCGCCATTAAACATAATGAGTGCGACAAAAACAGGTATCCCCTCCGCAGCAGCCGCACTAGGCTTCACGTTCGTCCTTATGTGTTAGCATTCCAGTTTTTGGTTATAGTTCATTGGGTATGTCATTTCTCTAACCGCCTCGGCGATATGGTACGTCGAGCGGTTAGAAGAAAAAAATATAAACAACGGAGAGCGGGAAAGTTCGAAAAAGCGTAAAAACATTGGTAAAAACAAAAACTAAATAAAAAGTTGCATTTTGTATGTATTATTATATTTTATGAATTTGAAGCCCGAAAGCCGTTTTCCCTTGCATACAGCGTGATTTACGTAGGCCGTGCATTACAAATTATTCAGTTTGCAGGTGGATCAGCATAAATACCACCTAATCTACCTGCTAATGTACGGACTACGTAAATCACCCAGTATTATGCTCAAAAAAGATTATGGTATATCCTAGTTTACCTACTTGATGGGCTGTTATTGTAGACTGTAGGTAACGAGAACTTATAAACTTTAGATAAAGTGGTTCTAGTAGGTCTATCCACCCATGGTCCACATCTGAAGCATTGAACGAAAAAAAATTAAACTAGCTACTTTTCACTTTTTGGCTTGCTGTAATGAAAAGGAATGAAATACTGGATAATTCCACAATTTCCTCGTTATCAAATGGCATTTTCAGTGATGTCATCACTTGACATACCGCCCCTAATTGTTTTGTAACCCGGACCGGTTAGTTTAAATCAGAGCGACGTGAAAAGGTGTTTGGTTCGTTAGCGTGTTCAATTCCAAACAAGTAAAAGCAAAAGGAAATTGGTTAACAACAGGGACAGGGGCGGACATATCACCGGGCAGTGGAAGAGAAATGAAATCAAGAAAAAAACCGAAAACACAAACCAAATTAATTTTTTTTGACAATATTTTAGGTTATAATTTTCCAAAAGTGACAGTTGATGGTTCTCTATCCATCCATCACAGGGAAACGAGAGCGAGCTCAGGGTACGGGCTGGATTTTAACCCGAACGCAAAAGAGAACACTCTGATGGTTAAAACGAACAGGATCTTATCGTTTCGAGCGCCCTCGGAGTTTACCGAGTGTAAAGTCGAACTCAGTCTGTAGTTCCTTGCTGCTCTCAAGGCTGCGGCTACGTTCTTTTTTCATCTGCGAGTGACTCGAACTTTTCAAGTGGCGCTTTCTTTTTAGTACATTTAGCTGGTAATAACAATACTCACATAAACTACAAAAAAACAAAGCAAAAGAGAGTTTTCCTAGAAACTGTTCTATACAAAACGGTTCAAAATGTTTTAAGCACTTCATTGGTTACTCACCGGTAGAGTGGTAGATTATACGGTGAATTCTGAAAAATGCCCTGAGCCGCTTTCCAGTGCCTAAATTGTTAGAGTATCATGCTCCTGAAGTGTGACGCTCTTGAACTGTTCAACATAAGCAGCACTGGAACGCTCTCGTCTTAACCCCCACCATTTCGGATTTCAGGAGCATGAAACACTGACAAAAGGGTTGGTGCACGAGGGGGCAGGGGATAACAGAAATGAGTAGCTCAAGTGTACGACACTCTAAGCACTGGAACGCGCAAAGCAATTGTGGAGCACTCCTGAGCTGCTCAGGAGTAACTCAAATGGGTCACTGGAAAGCACCTCTGTATGGGAGGTTTCCGCTTGTCAGAAATGATTGATTGTTCTTGACATTTGTCGTTTCCCCCAAATTTCCTTATCAAAACATCCCAAAAAAAAAGTGTTTGTGTTTTTATTTTTGTCCCATAGAATGACCATAAGAAGATAAGAGCTTTATTATCGTTTTATTAAGTAATTATTTACAAAAAAGTTATTACTGCCGAGATGTCCGTAGCGGGTGCGTTTTCCCTGGCATTATTATCAAAAATGGTCTTTTCTTTGTGGACTTTCCTTTGATGTACAGAAAATTTCCATATTGTTATCCATATTTTACATATACAATTAAAATTATTTTTCTAGTATTCTGAACTTTTAGCAAAATGTTTGTGAAACCCGAAGAAGTTCTTATCGCTAATGCATTCTGGTAAGTATGAATTTAATTCAGACTCCAGTTTCCCATTTATTTCTCGAGCTAGCTATTATTGTAATAAATTATAACAACTGATAAGACAAATAATGCCTATTATAATATTTACTCGAATATTTATTCAACTTGTTATCTTCCTGACATAAGCATTCAGTTATTTTTATTGGCGCTTCTAGAATGATTGGTAGGTATGCGAAGGTATAAATCTAAATGCATATTACACGAAACCAAGAGACTCGTCTAAATTATTGGTTCAAAAATTAAGCAAATGAGTATACTTTGTCACTTGTCACATATTTGGAAAATGATCAGTGTACTAGTAAATTATCTTCAGTCGCTTGGTCCAATGTAGATAAATATTTAGTTGTACTGAAACAGTTGTAACATTATGTTTTTTTTAAAAATATAGATGACAACAAATCCTATTGTTTCATTTTAACAGGCCAATCCATCAACATTTGTGTGAGGTAAGCACCCAAATCTCAACAACGATTTTTCAGGAGAAGCGCATTACGGCAATTTAATAGTGATAGTAAGTTCAAACATTTTGGACAAGGGCAATGATAAGATGTTTTTTTTTTCCCTTATTCTAAGTTTTTTAAAATAAAGGTAGGGCCTATGCCTATAGGAACAGGCTTCCATAATTTTGTCCAAATTTTTTTCCAAAAATGTGTCATTCTAATTTTTGTTCAGAATCAGGGCTTACTCCACACATGTTCCATCAACCATCAATTCTACATACATTGTTAAATAAAAGCAGTAAATGTGAGAAAAATCAAAAACCAAGTACCTATACCCTATACCTACTTATTCCTCGACTTATCCTTATAACAAGCTCATCATCTGAATGAGGAATTTTCAGCCTCTTCCCTGGAAAATATGTTTGACTTCTTGTCACTGTGTCCGACACTCGGTCCGACAAGACTTAATTTTTAAATATGTCATTAGCTTTGTATTTGCTTAGGTATAGCTATATTGTTTTTGATGTTTTGGCACTAGATCTAAAGCATAGTTCTCATGGAGCAGAAAATCCCGTTGCGAACGCGGAATTTTTAAAATTTGTTCCGCAGTGGGGAAATGTCAACTTTTATCCTCTGTCACTTTTTATTGTCACCTGTGAGATGTATGGTATGACATTTGATGAAAATCACTAAAATATAATGTGAAATACCCTAAATATAACTAAAAATCTGCTGCTCGTTTCATGTGAAACACGACAAAATTAATTTTTGAACGGAAAGCGATATTCCGCACCCGACGCGATTTTTCCACTATTTTTCTCTCCATAAAAACTAGGCTTTGCATCGAGTAGTAACTCAACACGATGGTTTGATTTATTTTAATTTGTCCACGAAATATGCAAGCGTTACCTCTGTATTTATTCTTTTAACTAACATCCTCTAATGCACACTTATCCATGAAAATGTTATTTTTCTTTTTATATCTGTCCCTTGATTTTTCTGGCAACCCAACATCTTGTTTTACAGAAAGAAATCATCAATATTATTGGGGAATGCTGTTATTACTGAATGTTTTATGTTTAATTGTCACATTCTGACTTTTTTGACATTACATAATTTAGATATTAGTCTGATTTCAACTTGTTTATTTTGTTGTCACGTTCTGCATTTTTTCAGCAAGTCACTTTTTAGGTATATCTTAATGCTTTTTTTTCGACTTTTTTATTTAACGGGAAGGAATTTTGAAGATCATACTTCATCATTACTATACTCATAACTCAATCAATAAAAATAATAAAATGTTTGATCCACAATAAGCTTATTCAATTAAATTATAATTAAATTTATACTAAACAAAATTTATCTTGTAGCACCTAGTTGTTGTACACATCTGTAAGTATGTAGGTACTTTATATATAAACTTTAATAAAATCTATATAAGTAAAACACAAACACTTTTCAACTTTCAAACTTGATTCAAACACATTGTATTTAATAGATTAAACCATGCCATCCCCAATTTTGCAAACCATTTCTCAGATTCAAACAGTGGCGGCTCGTCGTATAAAGCAGCTGAGGCTGGGCCTCACATGTAAAAATTACAATAATGATGTAAAATTTTGAAATAATATTTATTAAACATTTAACGTTTTGAACTATTTTCAATCATTAAAAGTATCAAAACATCGAATTTTCATTAAAGTATAATACTATTTCTTGAATTTACCGCGCACTTCTACCTATTTATCCTTATAGGCGCTCAAATCGTTGCCGGACAGCATAAAAATGATATAGCAATACCAAAAATTTTGGCCTCATGTGCGTCACAGAACGCCGAAGCGATGCCATGGCACTCCCCACCACAACCCGTCAACTGTAGGTGAGACGATAGCGAATTTTTATAGGCACTGAGGCGCACAATTTTGGGCTTGTTAGATAGAAACCTTGCATTTCTTGCTGTTGCGACAAGTAGCAAATGCCAGTGCGTGATTTAATTGGCTCATACTTTTTATTTTGGTCTGTTGCGGGTTGAAAAACTGTTTTTTTGGAATTTATTTTGTTAATTTGAAACTCAATATTTGTATTAAAATAAGAATTATGTACTGCTGTTGTTTTGCAACTGTAAGAAATGAAAAATTTTATTAGAAATATATAAAAAAATAAATATCCGAGGTGTTCTTTTAATGAAATTTTGGGTCAAAATTTGGATGTAACACTTGAAAATTTTGTTTGGGTTTGTTTGGGTTAACTCGATGGGCCATGGGCCTCACCAGTTTGGATTGTCACGAGCCGCCACTGGATTCAAATCATTACTTGCAATCAGATATCACTAGACATTCATTAGCTCTTGTTTCTATAGAATGAGTATAACAAAATCATTAATTTCCTCCGAGATTTACTCTATAGTCCCAAGATTTTCAGGAACAACCTTGCAGCCCAAATGTCTGTCAACCTAGCATGACAACCCCAGCAGAATTCGAAAAAAATTAGTGGAGATTAGTTGCTAATTATTTACCATAATTTTGATTTTTTTACTCTTGCCGATTATGAAATAATGTGACTCTTGCTAGCTTGATATCAAGCTAGCAGAAATCTTTTCAAATTCCTGGCAAAATTCGAAAAATTTTAGTTGAGAATTTGTTGCTATTTAATTGCTAATTATTTAGGTACCATATTTTTGATTTTTTTTTCGCTTGCCGATTTCGAAAAAATGCGACTCTGCCAGCTTGATATCAAGCTAGCAGAAAAAAAAATCCCAGCGGAATAAAAAAAAAATAGTGGGGAGTTTGTTGCTAATCATTTACCATATTTTCAATTTTTTTACTCTTGCCGGTTTTGAAAAAATGCGATTATACCAGCCTGACATTCAAGCTAAAATGTTATTATGTATTATTTTTTATCAAGGTACCTAATTTTGCTTGAAAATCTATGGCTATTTTATTGATCAGATCACTAGTCCACAGTGCGAAAGTATTTGAAATAATTTGGACTAATTTTTCTCGTCCTCTCATGCTGAATACGCACAGATGACGAAAAGTTATTATTACCTAGTTTAAGTTTTTATGATTGGAAGCCATAAAGATAAGAATGCTATTCTACCAACTAATGTTGATGTTCACTTAGTTTGTTGATAGCAAGCGTTGAAAATATTGGTTTTAGTGCTGTATCCTGAGCCATTTAGTATCACTACGTAATAAAAATAATAAAAGTAAACGTATCAATATACTTTATAGCAAAATGTCTCGAAAATGTGTGAATAATCCCCATAATTTTTGTTACATTTGTGGTGACGCGAAATTTAGTAAAAAAAAGTGTTCTATATCGCCTACAATACAAAAAGCTTCAAATCAAATCAAATCAAAAAATGCTTTATTGTACAAAAAGGCCTTAAGACCCTTATTTACAAAGCTAAAATGGAAATAATACAAAAATAATACAAAAACATTATGAGGAGACACTGAAACGTTACATGTTAAAATACTAAAAACTAACAAAGACAATCAAGATAAAAACATTAAAAAACCAAAAACTGCTACTCAAAATGTCATTCACAAATCCAGTCAAGCTCTTATATATGGTACATACAAATAAAAAAATAAAAAAGCGAACAAACAATAATAAAGATCAAAGTATTTTTCAAGTTACAGATAGACATCATAATTCATACAATCGCCAAAGCTAGAGCCTATCGCCATAAAATTCTTCCAGAGAGTAATATGCTTTTAAGAGCAGAAGCTGTTTCACCTTTCTAGCAAAAAGGATACTATTGTCTAGATATTTGATCTCAAGAGGCAGGTGGTTATACATCTTTTTCCCCTCATATATTATTGACTTTTTTGTTAATGCACTCCTTGGGATGCACAGACTAAGATTGTTGCTGTTGAACCTAGTTGTCCTGGTGTCATTATTGTCATCCGATCCTTTATATTTTTTGTGAACCATGCCCACCGTCAGTAAAATAAAAATACAGGTCAATGTAAGAATTCCCTCCCGGATGAACAGAGGCCGGCAGTGTTCCCTAGAGCCGACTCCACACAATAAACGAACAGCCCGTTTTTGTAAAACTAAAACTGAATTAACTATTTGACCACTGGCAAAACCCCAAAATTCAATGCCATATCTGAGACGTGACTCAACAAGTGCAAAGTACACACCCCTTGCAATGTCATGACCCAACTCATTACGAACCGTCCTTAACGCATAACATGCAGGAGCTAGTTTTTTTCGCAAGTCATTGATATGCTCACCAAACTTCAACTTAGAGTCTATAGCTAAGCCCAAGAACCTCGAACAATCCCTATTAGCAAGTGGCTCATCATTTAAAGTTATATTTGCCACAGAACACTTAAAGGAAAGTAAATTTGTTTTCGATATGTTGAAAGATAGTTTATTGGAGTCACACCACTGCTTTACCTTGCGAATATCTTGCCCAATCCTATCCTCCAATGTGACTTTGTCTGATCCCAGCCATAAGATGGTAGTATCATCAGCAAAAAGTGTAATTGATGCATCAATGTTGGTGCAAGCTAGATCATT